CGCCGCCCGCCACCCACCGCCGGTGGGGTTGGGGCCGCCGCCGCCGCCAGGCTGCTAGCGCAGCGGGCGCGAGCTCCCGGAACGCGCCAAAAAGCGGGCAAGAGACTGGGGGCTCCGGGTTCCGGGGCGCGCAAGAGGCGACTTCCGCAGCGACGGACAGCGGGGCTTTCGGTGCTCCCCCCGCCCCGCAGTTGGTACACCCCACCAACTAACTGCGGCCCGAGTGCGCAGGCGCGGTCAGTCTGGTTGCAGCCGTGGGCTCCGCGTGGCTTCTGGGCGGTTAGCGGCGCTCTGCCTTGCACCCGAAGAAGACCCTTCAGTACTAGTTTAGTAGTTAGTGAGGCAGGGTGGCTAGCACAGGTTAGGCATAGATAATACATTTTTTTTTTTGGTTGGAGTCTCACTCTGTTGCCCAGGCTGGAGTGCAGTGGCAGGCTCACGGCTACCGCAGCCTTGACCTGCTGGGCTCAGGCAATCCTTCCGCCTCAGCCTTCTAAATAGCTGAAACCACAGGGGCGCGCCACCACGTCCGGCTGATTTTTCTTGATTTGTTGTAGAGACGAGGTCTCTCCAAGTTGCCCAGGCTGGTCTCGAACCCTTAGACTCAGGCAATCCTCTCACCTCAGCCTCCCAAAGTGCTGGGATTGCAAGTGTGAGCCACCACACCTGGCTGAGACGTTTATTATTATTTTTGTTATTATTTTTAATTGCAGGCCAAGCTGGAGTGTGAACTCTGCTGCCTACTTCACCCCCTCAGCACATCAAAAGAAAATCGCATCAGATGTAAGAATAGGACAGCCCCACCTGGTGCGGTGGCAAGCCTTTGGGAGGCCAATGTGAGAGGATTGCCTGAGCCTACGGGTTTGAGACCAGCCTGGGCAACTTGGTGAGACCTCATCTGTACAGTAAATTAAAAAATTAGCCGGGCGTGGTAGCGCATGCCTGTAGTTCCGGCTACTTGGAAGGCTGAGGCAGAAGGATCACCTTAGCCCAGCAGGTCTAGGCTGTGATGGTCGTGAGTGTGCCACTGCACTCCAACCTAGGCAACGGAGTGAGATTCCAACTAAAAACAAATAAAAAAGAGTCTAATGTGCTGGGCACGGTGGCTCACACCTATAATCCTAGCACTTTGGGAGGCCGAGGCAAGAGGATTGCCTGAGCCCATGGCTTCGAGACCAGCCTGGGCAAGCTGGCGAGACCTCATCTCTACAGTAAATCAAAAAATTAGCTGGGCGTGGTAGTGCACGCCTGTAGTTCCAGCTACTTGGAGGGCTGAGGCAGAAGGATCACCCGAGCCCAGCAAGTTGAGGCTGTGGTGGCCGTGAGCATGCCACTGCACTCCAGGCTGGACAACAGAGTGAGACTTCAACTCAAAAAAAAAAAAAAAAAGAGTCTAACAGTTAGGCAGGTTTGACATTTCCTACAGATAGGCATTGGCTTGCCTATAGGTGTATCTAATAAGAGCCTGACAGATAGGTAGGTGTGAAGTTTCCTCTAGCTAGGTCATTTGTTTGTATGCATGCTTCTGCATTAGCTGCTGTAGACATCAATGAGCTTGGAACATTTATACAGCCCTGAAGTTTTCCTAATCTAACCTGACTACTCTATCACTGGGAGACACCCTGCATGGGTTTCCTGAGTGATACGTGAGCCTTACAGGCGTGGAGACTCTCAACATATGAATTCTTATAGATTTGTGGCCCCCCTGTCTGCATGTGCAGAGCAGACTCTGGTTGGGGCAGTGCAGAATGCAGGATGTGGAAGGCCCTGGGGACTACTTAGCAGGGGAGGGGACCCAACCACCATCCATCTGGAGCCTGACACAGAATGAACATTGTCAGACGTGTATTGAATAAAAACGTGTGCTTTCTCCAGGGCCACACCACTAAGCTAGTACGAACTGATGCCGGGTGGGATGTGATGCACAATTAATCGTTGCTATGACTAAACCCTAATATGAATTTTAGAGTGGTCAGCAAAGTTGTTTTTTTTTTTTTTTTGAGTTGGAGTCTCACTCTGTCACCCAGACTGGAGTGCAGTGGCCACTCCAGGCCACTGCAGCCTCGACCTGCTGGGCTCTGGCAATCCTTCCGCCTCAACCTTCCAAGTAGCCGGAATTACAGGCCTGTGCTACCACGCCTGGCTAATTTTTTGATTTATTGTAGAGATGAGGTCTCACTGTCCAGGCAGGTCTCGAACCCGTGGGCTCAGGAAATCCACTCACCTCAGCCTCCCAAAGGCGCGGGATTACAGGCTGAGCCACCGAGCCCGGCTGGTCAGCAAAGTTTTAAAACAAAGTTTATTAGTGAGAAGAAGAGAGGAAAGAAAGGGCAGGTGGAAGTTTTGTACCAGAAAGGCTTGGCAGGCACACAGGTACTGCCATTCCTGAGAGAGTGACATCTCTTGGCTTCTGATGGGAGGAGTGGTTTTTTGGTTTTGCTTTTTAAATCATTTTATTTCCTTTTTATTGATTTATGTTTTGAGTTGGAGTCTCACTCCGTTGTCTAGGTTGGAGTGCAGTGGCATGCTCACGGACACAACCTTGGCCTGCTGGGCTCAGGCGATCCTTCCGCCTCAGCCTTCCAAGTGGCCGGAACTACAGACGCATGCTACCACGGCCAGCTAATTTTTTGATTTATTGTAGAGATGAGTTCTCACCAAGTTGCCCAGGCTGCTCTCGAACCCCTGGACTCAGGCAGTCCTCTCGCCTCGGCCTCCCAAAGTGCTGGGATTACAGGCTGAGCCACCGTGCCCAGCCCATTTTATCATTTGTATGACTGGTTAGTCAAGGGGTGGTATTTGGCCTACCACCTTCAGTTGAGAACCTGAAAGATTTTTAGTGATTATTATGCTAATCCATGAATTAAAAGATTGGGCTTAGTCTTTTTTTTTTTTTTTTTTGAGTTGGAGTCTCACTCCATCATAAAGGCTGGAGTGCAGTGGCACGCCCATGGCCACCTCAGCGTAGACCTGCTGGACTCAGGCAATCCTTCTGCCACAGCCCTCCAAGTAGCCAGAACTACAGGCATGTGCTACCGCGCCCAGCTAATTTTTTTATTTATTGTAGAGATGAGTTCTTGCCAAGTTGCCCAGGCTGGTCTCAAACCCATGGGCTCAGGCAATCCTCTCTCCTCGGCCTCCCAAAGTGCTGGGATTATAGGCGTGAACCACCGAACCTGACCTGTTAGACTTATCAGATATACCTATAGCACTGTAGTTCACCTATCTAGAATGCTTGTGGCAGGAACTAGCTTAGAGACCCACTCTGGAGCATGCATATCAATAGCCAAGGGTAATCTAAGATAACCATTAAGAGGATATGAGGTTTTAAAGGGAAAGAATGGAATGAGGAGTATCTGAGAGCAGCACAGGGAGCAGATTTTGCTTCAATGGTCATCTTGGATGGTCCACCTGGAGAGCTGGCCAATGCCTTCCTGACTGTGACCAGGTTGTAGATGAATTGCCTTCAGGTGACCTCTAAACAATGGGGAGTTCTGGTGTGGGGTCTTCACACTGTTATTCCAAACATCAGTCTCTGTAATTTCTCAGGCAAGTACAGAATTAGATTAGGAAGAGGGAAAAAAAGATTTTAAAAGTGTAAGCAAAAACAAGAAAAAAAAGAAAAGAAAATGCAGCATGTCAGTCACACTCCCAGTGGGACCTCCAGAATGTTTGGTCAGACCTAGCAGGGATGTAGAGATGTGGGTGCCTGGTGTGTAATCCGATGCTATGTGAAAGATGCAAAGAATTGCACAGAAGTTAGATTAGAAAATACAGTTTATTTAAAAACTAAATTAGAAAGAGAGAGAGGAGATTCACCTCCCCAAGGTAAGGGAGGGGGCCAAAGCTTAGAAAAATGTGGCTGCAGTCATGACTCAAAGAACACATGAACACCCCAGAGTTTAGTAAAGTAATGGTGACTGGGTGCTAGTGGTTGAATCCTTTTAATCCTTCCCTTTGATGGGGGAAGGTCGCTAAGGTGATTGGGTGGTGGTTGCTAAGGTGATTGGGTGGTGATCATCACGTAGGGACAGGTAAGTGGTAAGCGCAGGTACTGATGATGTTAGGTGATGGACAACAGGCAGATGGATGGGTTAATGACATGATTGCTGCCATGGTGACGGGTCTGTCTGTGTCCTGAAGGTCAGGAAGGGCTGATTAGGTAAACTTGGGTCTTATGAGTGGAGGCAAATGCTTGAATAGAAAAGCGAATTAGTACAAAACAAGCTGGGAAGGGAGTTGTAAAACAATTATCAATAGCTACCTCTGAGAAATCGGTTCTGTCCTTGGCTAGTGAATTAGAGGGTAAGTAAACTGTTAGGAAAACATCAGATTTAGGCAATGTTAAAATTTCTGCTATTAAATCCATGTTATGTCCTTTCACAATATAATTTATAGGTTCATTGAAAAATAAAATGTAATCTAAGAGAGAAACAGTCTTACACTTTCTCAGTCAGGCACGATGGCTCAGCCTGTAATCCCAGCACTTTGGGAGACTGAGACAAGTGAATTGCCTGAGCCCGCAGGTTTGAGACCAGCCTGGGCAACTTGGTGAGACCTCGTCTCTACAATAAATCAAAAAATAAGCTGAATGTGGTGGTGCTCGCCTGTAGTTCCAGTTACTTGGAAGGCTGAGGCAGAAGGATTGCCT